GGGTTCAGACGGCAGGAACCAGGAATTTTAGCTACGTAATGAACAACTAAGCAGGGAACAGGAGCAAGATAATGGTGTGCATTTGCAGCCAAAACACAAGCTGTATTGGCAAAAGCAACTGATCAAGCTTATCAGTTCCTTCATCACAGAAAGTCAGGTTTACAACAAGTAGCTTCCTGAAGAACTCAAATTACTGGAATTTTTTTAATTTTTTTTGTTCTAACAGTTAAATAATTTATATATCCATTTAATCTGGGGTGATTTTTCAGGAAAACAGATGTGACTCTATTTAGGTAAAGTCCAAAATGAGAATTATGTATATTTCATTATATTGTCTTTGCAAGGACAGTACTAGTTTTCATTCGTGTTTGTTAAATACTTGAAGGATTTAAATATATATATAATTCAACAAAGGGAAAAGCCCTCATGATGGATTCTGCAACTCACTATGTAATATAGCAGAGTTCTGTTTTACTTGCCCAGTTTCTGTCAGCATACTTCTGTGCCAGGGTGCACAATGACTGTGTTTCAAACAGAAGTGTGCTTAATAGTTTTGTAGTTCTGTTTTGATTTTAGGAGGAGGAAATGTAAATTTAATCATCTTCATCATAAAAAGAAACCTTCACATAGCCTTTCTTTATTAATCAACTGGCTTAGACTTTCAAGTTATTAGTATTCAAGGACAAGCTATTTTTTAAAAAATGGTCAGTGTTTCCTTGTTCCTGAACCACTATTCATTTAATAATCCATCTTCAGTAGAGAAATATTGGGGGATTGGGCATAGACAGGATTGGGTTTTCAAGGCTTGGGGGGGTTTATATGGATTTGGGGGTTTTTAGCCAATCTGGACACTGTAGAAATTGTTTGGCACTTCAAACTCTTCAGAAGTCCATTTCACTTGGCGTCTAAGTCTTACTAGTTTCCTCTGTGAGTAACTGAATTCTCTGTAGTACCCAGGTATCTGCATTTTAGCCACTGCAATGCATAATACTGTTCATGTGAATTGCACTTCAAAATCTGACCTGGCACAAAACATAAGTTTACCTGAAAAATAATGAGTAAGTTACAGTCATTTTACTTTGTATTAGTTTATTTACTTTAAAAGCATGTTCTTCCCACATAAGTAGGTATATTGCATAGTCAGTGAAGAATTTGTATCTGGCAACATACAGAGGTTTTCTTTAGGAGTCTTTATTGCCTTTAGGAGCAGCTACTCCAGAAAATGTAATTTTAAAATTCTATTTGAAGTTATTTCTAATCATGATGGTACAACAAAGTTTAAAAGGGAATATATGTGTTTGAGAAGAAAGAACCACACTAGCTGGTGTAAAGTTTAGTATCTTAATTGGCATGTGTAGGAATTTGAATAAAAACTGACCACAATTTGCAGGAACTACTTTTAATTAAATATTCTACATCTTCACATTCAATCAAATGAAATAATAATAAATTAAATAATTCTGTAGAACTTATGCTCCTTTCTTTAACACATTTCAGTTCATTATCTTCCCAACTAAACACCTGTTCTAATATCAAATATGATGCCACAATTAGCTAGTATTTCTTCATTCATCAAATATGACATGTTTGTTTGAACTGCTGGGACTAAAGGTTCTCAAATTACTGGAAAAAAATCACTGTGGGATACAAGTTACAAAGATAATAATAAAGAATTTACATATTTTCTGCACTGATCATAGATAATTGCTCCATAGGGACAGAATATGAGGATTGCTTTAGAGGTGTCTGGTACTTAAGGTTCAGTCTGTTTTCTACATCACTGCATAGACAACATGAAATATTCTGGAAAGCTGTGCATTTTTTCCGACATATTTCAATAGGAACGACAAATTAGAAAAAATTAAATACGTTGAGAAAATAGCTTTACACAGAAAAGCTTTTAGGAGGATAAATTACTACCTTTATTTCACCAAGTAAGAGATAGTTCATATATTCACTTAATGCTTTTTAGATCACAGTGACCTTAGTATTTTATCCCCACAAACGTGTTAGCCTGTATTAAAATAATGAATAACCTGGTGAAAACATAAGGTTAATGGGCTTAGCTTAAAAAGGCAAATAGAGAGCTGAAGAATCTTGTTAAATTTTATAAATACATATAAAGAATTTAATTTAGAATTGAGCAGGCCTGTTCTTTGGTTGTTTCCCTTAGCAGGTTTTATTTCTTGTACCCTAAGCTATTACTTCTTTCTCTTTAATAGGCAGAAATTCAGCTAAACCTGTGAATATTTATTTGTCCAGTATGTGGTATTATTATAGGCAACAAACACTACTACATGAAGGATTAAAAAGAAGCTCAGAGATCAGTAACCATAACTAATTTCCGTATAAAAATCTAATTTTTTTCTGCTTCAGGGAACTGAAACTAGCTTCCACATTTAGCTGAAGATATGTCCCTGCATTTCTGTTCACAGCAGTGGGAAGATTTATCACAATCATAGGAGGCTTGAGGGTAAAAGGGACTTCTGGAGGCCATCGGGTCCAATCCCCTCCTGCTCAAGCAGGGCCACCTAGAGCTGGTTGCCCAGGACAGTACTCAAAATGGTGTTTTGAGTATCTCCAAGGATACTCAGCAGACATCCTGAGCAACCTACACCACTGCTCAGTAAAAAAAAAAAAGTAACCCTCACAGTGAAAAAGTGTTGTCTGATGTTGCGACAGAATGTTCTTTAGTTTGTGCCAACTGCTTCTTTTCCTGTTGCTACCCACCACTGAATATAGCCTGACTACATGTGCTCACGTTATCCCATCAAGTAGTCTTTTACATTGCTGAGTTTCCTCCTAGCCCTCCTCTTTAAGTTGAGCAGTGCCTCTCTCACTCTCTCAGGCTTTCTTCATAGGCAAGGTGCTCCAGTCTCTTAATTATCTAAGTGGCCTTTTAATGAACTGTCTCCAGGATGTCCTAGTCTCTCTCATACTGGTGACCCTAGAAGCAGATGCAATACTCTCGGTGTAGCCTTGCAAGTGCTGAGCAGAGGGCAAGGATGAAAATCCCTCGACCTGATGACAATGCTCTGCCTAATGCAGCCGAGGAGGCTGTTGGTCTTCTTTGCCGTGAGGATGCATTGCTGTCCCATGGTCAACTTGCTGTCTTCCAGGATCCCCAGGCCCTTGTCTGCCAAGATGCTTTCCTGCTGGGCAGCCTTCTCCAGTGTATGGGTGCCTGCTAGTGTACCTCCCCAGAGGGAGGACTTAGCACTTCACCTTGTTGAACTTCATGAGGTTTCTGCTCATCGCATTTCTCCAGCCTGTTGAGGTCCCTCTGGATGGCAGCACAACCCTCTGTCATGTCAGCAACTCCTCCTAGTTTTTTTTGTCAGCAGCAAACTTGCTGAGGATGCATACTGCTCCACTGTCCAGATCATTAATAAAGAATGTTGAACAGGGTCGGAGCAGTATTGGCTCCAGAAGTACAGTGATAGTGGCCTCCCACTAGACTTCAGACCACATACCATCTTCTGGGCCCAGCCATTCAACCAGTTTTCAACCTACCTCATGTACATTGCACATATAGTTTAAAAGCTACACAGCTCTTCAGTTCTGCAGAGACGACTTGGAGGTGCAAACTTCCCTGGAGACATCACAAAATCAATCAGATCTAGGCAACTTGTGTATTAAAACATCGATTTTTTGTACGTAGATTCTTAGTAAATGTGAAAATCCAAATTAAAAGTACAAAAATTACATATTCAACTACTAGAAATAAAGCAGCTTTGTTGACAGTTGAATTCTGCTTCTTCTGCACCAGCCTTATTGCATCAGGTTTAGGCATTTATGAAGCATTTCCTTTAGACTGTATATGACAACGCAAAGCAGGTTGGTATTTTGGGGACAGAAGCAGATTGAGCAGAAAAGTGAGGAGTGTTACTTCAATTCATAAGACATTTTGCCTACTTGTGGATGCAATTAGTTCATCTCTGTCTTATCATTTGAACTTACTTCTGTGCTATGCACATGTGCTTTATCAGGAACTGTATCCAGAATGAATATGCACTTAAGCAAAACTGAGTGAAGAAAAATGGTAGTACAAGCTAAAGACTGCTTTTCCGTTTGCTGTTTACGGTGTCTAATGCAACAGGACTTCAGTTCTTCATGAAGCTATTGTGGGCTACTGTTTTTTGAATATTTAACTGTGTGCATTCATGCATCCCTTTGAGAATGATGCATACAATCCATATTATGTTTCTACTCCATACAGAGTAAACATAAATGCAGAAATAGAGAATTTTAATTAGGAGATACTGTTATCCTTCACCTGCCTATTTAAGATGACTAAAAAATGCTATATTGCATTTGAGAAAAAGAATCTGATATTACATGTTATTGCCCTGAAAAACGCTAGGGAGTATTATTCTCACAGCATTTGAAATAAGAGTACCTGAAAAGGGGAATGCAAATGAAATTAACCACCTTTTCTGTCTTCTGACTTTAATAAAATTTGCAGTCTTCAGGATCAAGCTATTAGTTTCAGTTTGCCTGCTAGCTCATGCATAGAAAGAAAGTTTTTTAGACAGTTAAACAATCTTGTCAGTTAGATGTTTAATGAATTAAGGTGAACTGAGAGACATTCTTAGCTGGCATCTGTTGATAAAGAACTAGCCACATTTGTTGAAGTTGCAAGGATCGCTGATGAGTACTTTGTCAGAACTACTTGAATTTGTTTCTTTAAGGCCAGATTGTGACTTGTGGCCCTGATGTTTTCAAGGCATTACTGTGAAAATCCCTCAGCAAGACTTTAAATCCTGTTGCATGACAGGACATAGCAAAATTTTAGTAGGCATATGAAACTATTTGCATTTATGAGATTGCTGTGTTTTTCCCTAAAGAACGCCCTGTCTAATCACATGGTTTGCAGAGCATGTTTGTTTCTAATGTGAGTTGCATAACTACATTGTAGTTTAGTGCTTTAAAAACACGTGGTTATTGCTTTTACAATTTCTGTTTGCTAATTCTGACAATATCTTGTGTGTTTTTTGCAGATGTAAATGAATGTGAGGCTGAACCTTGCAAGAATGGTGGAATTTGTACAGATCTTGTTGCCAACTATTCCTGTGAATGTCCAGGTGAATTTATGGGAAGGAACTGCCAACAGAGTAAGTACTGCATGTTTTTATATATATATTTCTTTTTAATAGGATAAATACTTGTTTTGCAGAAACAACTGTAATACATATGGAGATACTTGTCTAGTCTACAAATACGTAATGCTCAAAATAGCCATTTTATTCTTTTCAAGGTGGAGGAAATCTAAAAGACCAAATCTGTCATCTGATATGATGAAAAAAATTGCAAAATGCAAAATTATTATGTAAAAGTCAAACAAGTCAAAATATTGTAAAGTAGAAAAATACAATAAACAATTCGGGGTAGGGGTTTATCTGCCTAAGCATCCCGCCTTAAAGAGTAATTATTCACAGATATCAACAAGTGGAAGAGCAGGGCAAAAACAGATGATAAACTTTCAGGGGCTACACTTCTAGCCTCTGAAAGTAGGACCACTGGTTTGGAGAATTCATTAGTGGAGTTGATCCAGCGTCTGCCCTGGGAACAGTCTCCCATGATTTTACCAATAACAACTACAAATGCATTATAAAGATCTAATTTCTAAAGTTGTTGCTAACAAAGGAGTTCTTAATTTATGAAAGACTAGGCAATCTTGAAGACCAAAATAACAAAAGTAGAATAAACTGCTATGGTATGAAATGCAGTTTGCATTAACAGTTAATAACAGATATTAGAGGCTGATATATTTGCAGTGTTGCAGAGAAGAAAGCCAGTGTGTTTTAGCCAAAGGATGCTGAAGGTCTTGTGGAAAAAGCTAATATAATAAAAATATCAAAATAAAATAATATGCAATACCTATAAATTATATAATATATGTACTATAAGGTGAATGTCTATTGAATGTATAATAATAAAATATAATACTAAAATATAATAAGAAAAATTACAAAAAGCTAATAAAAGTCCCAAGATAATTTACAGTATATGATATGGTGCCTTAAGGAGAAAAAAAGAAACTATTTGTGGATTAGCATTTGTAATATTAGATACTGCATTCAAAATAGTGTGTAATAGTATCTGAAATACTGGAGTCACCCACACTGAAGAATGGGAATTTCTGGTTCTAAGAAGATCTGCTATGTGTAGGAGAAAAAAATTTTAAAGAATGTTGCAAGTCAAATACTAAATAAATGAAACCATGGCAAAGCTGAAGAATATGATTCTTTTTTTGTGTTCACATTGTGAGTGCATGGGGCAGAATGCAGAAGAAAACAATATGGACCAACAAATACAAATGACAGAATGGGATTCTTTTTAAGTAGCCTCAGTAAATTACTAGATTTGTATATGCAGCAAGGAAAAGATTTGAGCATCCAACATAATGTGTATATAATTAGAGAGAGAAGTAAAAGTTTAATACTTTGAGAAATTTTACAGGCTATATGGCAGCCTGAAATAAGTTGTAAAACATGAGCATCTATTATTCTGTAAAAGTTGCTGGTGAATTACTTGGTGTATTTCTTCATAGCGTGCAATTGAATTACCATTTGAAATTCTACCAGGAATCTCATCCATTTCTTCAGAGTTCATCCCTTCTGTTTTTTTGGCTACATCATGAACATTGCGTGTATTATAGATCACATAAAACCAATTTCCTGTTTAGCTAGAAATGGGATAGTCAAAGCTATTACTGGAAGTAATCATTGCACATTGTGGTTCAGAAACTTCATATTTCTTTCCATTTTATAGACATATATATATAATTGTGTATAAAAATAATCTTTGTGTGTGAAGTTGCATATATTGTGTGTTATATTGGATTTTATTTTATGTGTGTATATATATTTTTGTATATATATAAAAATTCATAGACATATATAAATACATATATATGTATACATATCTTTTTCATACCTATATATATAAAAGATAAAATAGATATTTCCAGTATATTGAAATAGTGAAAGAATTCTGCTTATGTCAGTAAAGTGTTACTGAATTGCAAACTGTATCTACAGTCTGTGTTTCTGGGTCAGACTTAGGAGATTTACACTGGTAAGCCAATCATGTAGACACATGATCTTTCTGGAGGTGCTTCTGTAGATTAATACTGACAGCTGTGAGCCAGGGCTTCATCAACAAGAGAAGAACACTAAGTTATTTCAAAGGATAATTATGTTGAGTATTAAAGATTTTTTATAAATATGATCAGCCTCTGTAAAACAATCAGATTGTTTTGGTGTAGAGATCAAGGACAGTGAGTTTAAAACTTTAAAAAATGAGTTAGCTTTGCAATAACTGTTCATCAGCTGCAAAGTGTGTACAGTCTGAGAGCGCTGGGCTTGTTCAGCCTGGAGAAGGGAAGGCGCGAGGGAGACCTTAGAGCAGCTGCCCCTTAGAGAAGGGTCTGTAGGGACAGGACAAGGGGAATGGCTTTAACCTGACAGAGGAGGAGACTGAGATGAGCTCTTAGGCAGAAGTTCTTCCCTGTGAGGGTGCTGAGGCCCTGGCACAGGTTGCCCAGAGAAGCTGTGGCTGCCCCATCCCTGGCAGTGTTCAAGGCCAGGCTGGACAGGGCTTGGAGCAACCTGGTCTAGTGGAAGTTGTCCCTGCCTATGGAAGGGTGTTGGAACCAGATGAGCTTTACAGTCCCTTCCAACCCAAACCATTTTGTGATTTTGTAGTGTGGTAAATGAGGGGGACACGGCAATATGGCACTGGAGTGCAGTGGTAAAAAGCTTCTATTCTGTACTTCCTCTGGATAGCAATGCGAATATAGACACCTATGGTTTGAAGACTTAGGAGGAAAGTAGTATATTGCTTAAATCAGTAATTGCAAAATGCCACACAAAGTCAATATTTGAATATTTTTGTTCTACTACTTTTTATACTCATGTTATTCAGGCATATGAATTCAAGCATATGAAGATTTATTGTTAAATAATAAATAATTAAGGGTGGCAATAATGTGTGTCTGATTACTGCCTGTAGTCATTGAACTACCCCGTTAAGGAAAGTCAATAAATCCTTCTATTACTATGGCACAGTTCACAAACTTTTAGCCTTCGTTTACTTTTGAGCTAACTTTAACACAGTGAGCATTAAAATAATAAATTTTGTTTTTATACACCAGGGTAATTCTGCACTATACCAGTTTCTATAGCTGGGCTTGTAAGTATCTTCATTTTTTCACGAGTTTTAGTTATTTCATCATACCTAATTATGTAATTACAAGTAGTAATTACACATTCTAATTACACCATTAGTTTTACATATATTTACAGTAATCATATAATTACTGTTGTGCTAATTATGTAAATTAGTGATTGTATTTCAGAATTACCTCGCAAAACTCAAAAGATTGCAAATCCACATCACAGAATATATGAAATAGTCTAGATCAGGAACAAAAAAGGCAAAAATACACCATGCAGTCTATTCTTCTGCCCATTAAGCTCTTCCAGGATGTATTTTCTAACATTATATCTAGTTTGGTATATCCTGAATACCTGTACTTTGTAATAATGACTTTTCGTGTTACTTACCAGATTGAAGTAGTTTACGTCAGCCTTTTTTTTTCCTAATGCGCCATCTATGTTTTTTCTCTCTTTTTAATTCCACCATATTTAATCTCCTAAGTAATTCCCTTAAATTTTATCTCATGTGTAGTACTTTCCAGGTGTGATTTGTATTACACCCAGGTCCTGCAAGCCTTGTGGGACACCCACCCAAAATCCTCCTGACTAGTCCCAAGACCCTTTGCTAATAACTAGTGCAGCTGAAGTGAGGGGGAAAGGCTCGTCTAGAACTGAGTATGAAAATAGCACTAAAATGCTTAATGGGCTTGGAACTGTATTTGTATCACCTTGATTATCTTCTGAATCTCCTTCTGGCATGTATGAGGTATGGAAATGCTTTGTAAGGTCTCAACCATGATGTAAAATTGTCAGAAGACACGGAGATTATTTCCTTAGCCAGCCAATGTGCTTCACATCCTAACAATCCTTCTCCTTCTTTGGGCTTTCCTTGTGTTTTATTTACATACCCTTCTCATTTTGAAGCATTGGCCTGACCTCTTAGTTTTCATCTGGAAATGCTTTAATTAAACCTTTCTTTCATCATACCTTACTGCTATCTTTAGCTGTTCAGGCATAAATAATACGTAAACAAGCTGCTTCTCACTGCTGGAAAGCACAGATTGAGCAAAGTCAGAGTGATGTTGAGCCCAAGAGCTCAGTTGTTATGGAATAGGCGTATCGATCTGTTAAGAGATGCTTCACTGAGCATCTGATATTTACAAAGTTTGTCTGCAGATGTTTAGTAAACACATAATGGAAAGAGAGCACCTTTTCCCATCCTCTGAAAGCAAAACCTAAGTTGTATTATTTCCATATTACTTTTCAGTTAAGGCCCCAGCATTTCCTTGATGCAGCTGCATCTCCTTCTGTTCTTGCACTCTGTGAGCCCATTTCTTGCTTCTGTGCTGAATTCTAGCTATCAGTTATGATTACCTTCATTACAGCTTTCCTTAGTGTCAGAGTCTCTATAAATAAGTACTGCTTCCCACACAGATTCTCGTGGGGTTGAAGGTTTTACTTTCTGGATCACAAAATTCTCCTCCAGGCACCAGGGAGCCACTTACATCAGTGTCAGGCTGTTTGCATTATTCAGTACAAATCTGTATTGTTAAAATCTCCCATGAGCAGCTTGGATTCTGAATTGCAGTAATTTCTGAATAGTTCCACAGGTAATTTTTGATCACTATTTGGTTGTTTCTTTATCTAGAAGATGGTGCTATGCAGTGGACATGTTATAATTTCACGAGTGTGCATTTCCAAGCTGTATTTTGCTGATTGCCAAGAGTTGCTGCCATTAAAGCATATGGCATATTTTCTCATGCTCTTTCTTTAAAGCTACAGATTGGATTAATCACTGTAAATATGTTTACATATGCTGTGGCCCGTTCACCCCCTTTTCTGTATATTCGACAAGCCCATATGTAGGAGGACTGATTTCAGAGCAAATGCACCAATTCAGTTTGTCTAGCATGTCAGAAATCCTGATAAGCAGTGCACCTTCACAGTATTTTCATTTGTTTCCTG